TAATGCTAATGTGGATGTTTACTAATGAAAAAATCTACGTTTTTGCGCCAATAAATAGGATTTCCGTGTCAGTAAATGGTTAAATATGGTAGAACAGACTCTAATAAGGTTATTTTTATTATAAATTACGTAATTGTTCCATCTATAATCCACATTATCAGAGTAAAAAACCAAGTATTTATGAAAAGGCTATATTTGGAGCCTGAATCGAGCATTTCTAACATATTTATACTTGCCCACAGTTGGGTCAAATTTATCTTCCCTTTCTTTATGTTTCGTATACTTTATTGCATGAAGTACATAAAAATCATCGTACTTGCTTGAAATTGAAAAACAATGAATGGTTCGTCAAAAATAAAGCTCCTTCTTGCATGCGATTCCACTTCATCAATGATTCTCAATATTTTTTAATTATTAGGGCGCTCCAAATGACCATTTCTCAGATGAATGCATAATTTTGTTTGAATTCTTTATTCGTAACTATGGTACGCAAAGAAGAGACGGAGGAACACGGGCCGTCTTCGCTATCTCCACCCTCATTGAGCCCTGTAGTGAGACGTATTTTCTTGCTTTTGTGAAACTTTTTGATAATCCTTCAGTAGCTAAAATCAAGTGGATTTGAAAGACATATTCTATTTCTTGGATGATCTCTTTGCGCTGTAACAGTCGAAATAAGATTTTGTTCCACATTCAAGCATTTCTCGCTGGCTAAGATTTTTTCATGATGAATTATAATTATTAGGTTAGGCAAATTTTCGCTATTCCAACGGTGTACTTGGCTTTTGGAAAGAACTGTTTAGAGCGCTTCCACAGTCAAAAGTATATTAGATTTGCAAATTTGGATTTCTTTCGCTGTGTAATCCTGTTTTGACCACTTTTTTTACGGGTTTTCTGTTTTTCAAAATTCTAATAACCGTTTGGTAGCCAAAATTCTACAATTTAAAGGTTACTTCTGAGTTCAAATAGCTTTCTCAGTGCGCTTCAACAGTAAAAATAATAATATCTTTTACATTATTTCCCGCTGAACAAATCTTTTCCGATAGATAGTCAATCATTGTTCGATAGCTCAAACCTCGGTGATTCCCATGACGACCATGTTTCTGAAAGAACTCCTTATTGTACCCTAGTATTCGAAAGAAGATTACGTTCCGCAGTATATCGACATGCTGCAAAAAGTGCGGTGACTGAGCCTGTCGCGAGATCACACCACTTGGAGTGCGAAACCCAATATTCTCCTGACTCTTACAGCACTCTAAGGAGTCGTCTCCAGAAACCAGCTGTATTTTAGAAATCGCTGTGCTTTACACTATCGAATGGTTATTGAATATTTATAGAAAAGCTTCATCAGACAAAAAATCTTCTAATGTGAAACGAAATGCTATTTCGATTTTTACAGCACAATAACAAGCATTTTGACAGAACAAAGTACACCGTTCAAATTCACTAACTTTCTGATATCGAATGGCTGTTTACACTTCAAATAGAACCAATTTCACCGAAGAACTCAAAAGGGTGGAGATAACGGGGAATTAGTGAAGATATTTATGTATTGCTTAAGATTTGTGAATTTGTGATTGTTTTTATTTCATGTTGTTATCACAGGCCGTTGTTTGTGATTTGTTTGCTGATAGATGTATTGATAAACTGTTAACAATGCCAGCATTAGGTAAAATATGGCTTGAAAGAATGCCTTTTTAAGAAAGTTGAAAAGGCGTTTTCTCAAGAAAGTGGCTTTCATAATGAAAAGTATGAATTTCTAGGATAAATGAGCGTTCTTTTCATTAAAACTACGTCTCTGTAATAATAATTCACTACGTTTTCGTAATAATAAGGTTTCCTTAGTAGTTTCTATTAATAAGTATCGAGAATTCCGCTGTAAATTGAAAGGACTGGTTCATCGCGGCAATCACAAAACATTATCATTTTTTGGCTAGTAGCACAAGTAGAAAATCTCCTTTCTAGAAACCAACATTGGCTCTGAAATGTCCGTTTTTCAAACTATACGATGAATACTAATAAATTAGTGGAATGTGTCTTTGTAGAAAAAAAAACACGGAGTCAAGAACGCAATCCTTGAAATACACTTGAATGCGACAAAAACTGTTTTTAAAAGAAATTTCGAGGCAAATGGGCGTGATTCTTTTGAAAATACATTTCAATGATAAGATAGCTTTTCTACAAAGAAGTTTGTAATAATTGAAATCTGATTATATAATCTTAAGATATTCACCAAGAATTAGGAAAAGTGACTGCGATTGGAAAACGTTTTCTTCTATCTGTTAATAGAACGAGCTAGGAAAATCTCATCACACAACTCAAAATTTTTCAAGCCATCGATTGAGTGCGAAAACATCAAGAAGATAGAAGAAAATGTTCAATAATAGCTAAATACATTCCTTTTCGTAAGGGCTTGGTTTTTTTTTCTTTTGAAAAGGGCAAGGTTTTAGGAAAGATTAGAGTTAATTTTACCAAAATCATTTGTAAGGCGTCTCATTAGTGATATTTATCGTTTTGTGACATCAATGTTCTTTTGAGAGCTCAGTTAACTCGAATTTGTAGTGAAACACGCACCAATCTTCGTAGCCGTCCGGACGGCGCGCCCACCTGAAGATGACCCACCTTCTCCGCAAAACGATATGCAATCAGCTGCTTATCACCGAATTTATATTCTAAAAGCACCTGAACAGCCTTTATCCCTTGATGTGCCTGGTATGCTGTGATCGCTGATTTGTGCATTTCAGCGAAAACTGTAAAAGATCAACTGTTCACCGATTTTTGTGTAAAGGAACTAACTGTAATGATTCTCTCAATTTTTTCTCAGTTACCTCTAATTATCCACGGCATATTGTTTGTCGGCGTTTTCTTTTTCACGTGTGATATCTCGATATGTGGACACAGTGAAAAGCAAATTCGCGGATCAAGAGGGCAAACATATGGCGGTCGTCTCTGTGAATTCCATGGCGTCACATAATTTCGGTACGATATCGCGTGTTTTAGTACCATCGTGGCAGTAAGTTCGCATAGTCAACGAAAGATATCTAATTTAATGCTGGGTTTTCCTGAATCTCCATGGACGACCAAGCACTGTACTATTTTATGACCAATTCGCAGAAAGCTCTTAGGGTTGCAGAGCATATAAATCCATCTAAATAAAACAATAGAGCCCAACACTTTTCAGTTTTATAAGACTTACAATGATTATATCTTTGTTATTTTTTGTTTGACACGTTGCTGACCGCATTGTTATTTCGTCTGGCAGGCGATGCATCGCCGGTTGGCGGGTGTGCTCTAATGACGATAAACGAATCTTAGTTTTTGTCGTCCCCACAGTAGATTTTGTCGCCAGTAAATGTTCGATGATAACAGAAGAGACTTGAATAAGGCTATGAACAATAGGAATGTTATGAATTCTTCCTCTAGAACAATTTTTGAGGGAAGAAAAAATCGTCGGATCCCTCAAATCAATGAGTGTGTCCTTGCTAAACTTTTTTGAAAAATCCGCGCATAGGTTTCTTCCAGAAGCCGTATATTGCAGAAAACGTGTTATCAACTCACAACTCAGAGAATCGTCAAAAAGGTGAAAAAAGAGTTGTAAATGCCTTGCTATTCCATCGATGTGGCTTTCGTATTGAGAAGTACGGGTTTTGAGACAATTGAGCGCTTCTCACTAGAATTACTTTTATAGAAGACCTTCCAATAGCATACTATTCTTTCGTAATGGTAGAATGGCTTTAGAATTTAGCACTAAGTAAGACTTTTCTTGGCTTGCTACATTAGGTTGTAAATGAACTTTGTGTGACCTTTCTTCGGCAATTTGAAGTCGCACTCTACAAACGGACTTGAAATAGAATAAATCAGAATCAGCTTTCTTTTTTCTCGCTGGCAAAAAATTATGATGTGACTGCTGAATAGAGGAATAGTCAGCAGTAAGTTCTAATGTGAGTAGTCGTTATTTTGAATCAGTCACAAAAATTATGAAGGCCTCGTTTGTCTACCTGTTGCTCTTTTAATTGCCTTCATCACTGAAAAACGTAAACTTCAGCTGCTGCGTTCGTCTGGAAGACAAGTAGAAGTGACAGTATTGAAATTTCCTTCCACTGAAGGGATAAACAACGATAGATGATTTGTATCGACCCACCGTTTGCAGTTTATCGGCGCCCTGCCACATGAATTGCAGCTGAAGACTTTCTCAAAAATTTTCTTTAGTCGCTCTCGAAAATTCATTTGCTTCTTGAACAAAAAAACATCATTTAGTTCACGTCAGGCGCTTTCGCAGATAGCATACTTCCATCTAGCACGTTTTCAGAAGCCAACTAATTTGCTATCTAGTGAAAAAGTAAAGAAAGACCTGCCTTTGATTATATGATTACTTGAAGGGCAAAACGTTGCGTGCGTGGCGTTGGTGAGAGACATAGAAATATGCCAGAATTTCACTTCAACAGTAACATCATATAGATGAGTGAATAGATATTCTACTTAAAAAGTGACTTGTGACTATCGTTCCACAAAGGAGTTTTCTATCTTCTCAGAAACGCTGATCTCAGAAATCAAGACTCTTAGGCGCTGGTGGGCATGGTTTTTGAAACGAGAAATTGAACCAAAGACTGTGTGTATATAGCTCTGCATTGAGGTACATACGCCCTAATATAGGTTACTCATGATCTAATCTTTCGCACTTCAACTTTCGTGTGAAGTGGGAAAACAAACCTATTCTTAACCCAATATGTAGAGTGGTATGCAAAAACGTTTGCGTCAGCTGGAGTTCGAACCCAGATCTCACTCCTTCCGTGAGTGCGCGCTGATCCTTTGCACTACCGTAGCCCATTTTGCACACCACACTCAACCAGTCAAATAAAATGAATCCTGATTGATTATTGAAACCCATTATCTGTCAGCATAAGTGGATTCAATATCGATAGTGACTGCCCACGCCAGACTGTAGACGGTTGGCTTTTGGCAGATAACGCATTGTAGCGTAGATAGAGCGGTGTAGAAAACGGGCGTCGGTAGTGCAACGGTTTAGCAGGCCCTCCCAGAAAGAAGGAGATCTGTGTTCAAATCCCAGCTGATGCAAACGTTTTTGCACACCACTCTACAATATGAAGCTTATTATAACATTATACCACTGCAACATGCGGTCAAAGAAAGTGAAGCCTGATTGATTGTGTACAATTCGTTGATTGATATGGACCTAAGGAGAATTCGCTGCAAAGACAATTCCATGTAGATGTGAAACACACTTTAATTCATTTCATTCACGTTTAAATTATATCCAGTTTTCTAGGACGTTTTCTGCCTTCTCTTTGGAATTTTCCTTTGAGAAACTAATCCTTATTTAGGTCACAAAGTACCATGTTTCGTGGAAATTCTGCACATAGTTATGCCCACTCGACATAATGTTAAACATGCACTTCTTCTATATAAGAGACACCAACATCACGAAACAAGTTAACCTTTCTTTCTTGAACATCTTGCATTACAAAGGGAACTATATTCACATGGCCCTTCAGTCGACTGTTTTCAAACCTCGCTGCAAAAATTCAATTTAGAAAATGTTTTGTAGTGGGGTTTGTGACTCTGATGAAGAGGGCGGGGCTGCCAAAACGCATGTAAGCCACTGACATATTAACCTCGAAAATGCTTAAAACATTATTCCAAGCTATATTCACATGTATCACCCAATGTCGTGTTAACCACCGATTAACTTGAATTGGGTAACACTAAACTCAAGTCGTTCTTGACGCGTGCAGCTTAGTACAAGACTTTCCTCTCTCTGCTTTCCTATCATAGTTGAAGTATTTGGGTACACCATACTCATCACACTGTTTCTATGATACCATTTTCTGTGCAGTTTTGGCAAGGACATCGCAACTGTTCAACAGATATATAACTTACCATGCTCATAAGTCGCTTTCTTCAAGGTCCCACTCCCAGTTGAGCCTCCAAACGGAAACATCGAACGCTTGAGTTACGCTGCTGCGGAAATGAACCCTCGCCACACATCGAAATTGAACACGTAGGAATCGAACACTGTGCTAAACCATCAAGGGAACATATCTCTTCATAATAGAATATTTTATCGCCGTGCTAGTGAAATTTGATTGAAACACCAAATCAAATTTCCATTCTGATTGTAGTATGGGGGTGAAATTTAGAATATTGTGAGCTCTGATTTGCCAAAAGTCATTAAGAGTTCGGTACTTGAAAGGGATCAGCTATTTTCGTGGTGTCGTACAAGTAACGAAGGTCCTATGGTAATCACGCCTTTCTCGGTCAAAATAACGTGAGTTATGATTTATTTATTCACCCTGCGGTAACCTCCAATGCTACCAGAATCCATGAATCCTATTCGACTGAATGGAAGCCATACGAACGTGCCGGAAATACGGTTCAGTTGTCAGCTTCATCACCACATGAGAGCAATTGCCACCTCTTGATTTGTTGAAAGCTTTCGTCACTTCAAAGCAGACGTTTATTCAGATTCTTGTAAACTATCTCTCCTTCCCAGTGATTTGAAGACTAGAACATTTCTGCCATTTATGACTCTTCGTAAACGTCCACGTAATCAAAAGATGTAGTAGTTTTGACCTCTTCAGAAAGCGTAAGTATTGATTATAATCATCTTGAATTTCAAAAGATTTGTGCCTTTGCTAAAGTAAATATCTTGGGATATTTGTAGCATCATTGACAATAGATACAAGTTCATTATTTGGTTCAGCCGAATACAATTTTATGTGTTCAAATGCGACAATATGATTAGCAGCTCAAATACTCGTCGTATCTTCGATGCAAAAATATGAAAATTCTCTGGCCAACTATTTTCCCTGCGTTCAACCGGTCCATCTGTATTCCAACATCCACAGCTAAAAGGCGGAAGCTGTAAGGCTGGCTATTTACCTTGAATCTCTTTTGTGGCGTCGACTTCCATCTAATTGTCTTTTTAGCCAAGCCATTCACAGGCTCCCCACAGAGGGCTTCACTTCCTTCGACCAAATCAGCGCAATATGGCTAGCCATTCACGCGACTATCTTAACCATTTGATTTTTTTACTCACTATTTTTTATCTCTACGAGTATCAGTTGGCTTCCGCTAATACTCTGACATTTTTTTCAGTTTGTTTCATTCTATACATTTTAGACACCTTTCATCTTTCCGATGATCTTTCATCCTCGTATAAAATCACCCGTTTCAGAGCAAGTAAGGAAATGTGCCGATGAGGTAATATTTCCGACAAACAAGTCAGTATTAGAGAGAAAAAATCCACGTTTTTTCATGGCAGCAAAATCAGATTCGTGGCCAGTTAACCATTGAAAGCTACGTTGAAGTCTCACGCGACACGCGACGCTATCGCCCGGCGAGTGCAACAACTAATCGTCTAAACAACAAATGGTTAAGTAAAGTAACTAACATTTCTATTAATACCATAAAAAACTATAAGATTTTGTTCAGGAGCAGGACAAGCAACTATACGCGTGAAAAAATTGCTATGGTTGTATACTTTTATTGATGATCTAGATTTTACATGAATAACGGAGTGGGTCCTGATCGTGATAGGTGATGTTCTCATCAGACTATTATTCTTTTCTGCGCGTGTTATCTTCCATCATCAAGCCCAATCAAACGTCAAAATTGTTGGCGTTTATGGTCATCTAATTCCATCTGTCAAATAAACGGTGGTGATGACACGCTGATCCTTGGTTTTCTTTATGGTTACGGGAACGACTAAACGTTCCTATTTCGTGTCGCCAATTTTAATGGTGAGGCGATGAGTTCTCTCGATTCGATCGAATTAGGCTTTAAGTGATGCTCGCTGTCGTCATCTCTTTCGGCGGAAAATACATTAGTGAATATCGTAATGTTGATTTCATGCAGCTACAGTAGTAGGTTAGGAGACAGTGAACATTGTCGAGACAGCGTGAGCCGGTCGAGGTAAACACATTTTCGAAAATTTACGATTCTATTGAGCTCTCGAATGTTGGAAACTTCTAGATTTGTAGAACTGTAGGTATTCAAGGTCATCAATTGAGAATGGTACATAGTGAAACAATTTCCTGATACAAATGACATCATGTATCTATGGATGGAAATTCATTACAGCGACTTATGAGCCACGATATTTTATTTCTTCTGCGGTTCTCTCCTTTGTTCTCATCTCTTTCCAATGCATGCTCCACAGCTTCTCTAGCTGCAGCTTCAAAGCACTTCTGTGTTACCTCTTTAGCCACTCATGTAGTCGCTTTCCTCTGAGGTGTTACTGTCATATAACTTGTTTGGAGTTTTTTGATGCCACATGAGCTACTCAGTGTTTAGCAAAATTGCAGGCTTAGAAGATTCGGGATGATATCTTTAGCATATTCGAACCTTTAATATGCTTCAGTTTTTCTTTTCGCTATTGGCTCCAGTATTGCTTTCTCTTTGTGGTTGAGACCACCAGCGCCATCGATGTTGACAGCACGACTGACCGCCACTGGTCGTGGTGGAGAGCGACTATGGCGCTGCTGTTCCGCCACGCTCACGGTCTATTCTCGCTTCGGTCAACTACATGAGCGATGTCTACAACATCGTTCCACAATGTCTGCAACCTGGTCAGAGTCCAACTACTTTCATCTGGCTCTTCTCCTCCTGTCTCCCTATTAACTCATCAAATGCTTTTACTTCTATGAAATTAGGATTAGAACAACGGCTTTTTGAAATGATTTGTCCAATGCTAAACGGCCTCAAAATTGCATTCTATCCGCCACCCCTGAAATCCACTGGAGAGTTACATTTAACCGCAAACAATTCTACTTGAATTACACAGTAAATTTATGCTCTTTGTAAGCCTCTACGTCAAACTAAACCTAGCACGTCATAGACAAAGTAGCCCTGCAAAAGGGTGAGAGGAGATTTTCGACATGGAATAAGCGCTATTTCTACTTAAGTAGTAGTCGTCTTCATTCAAATTCATAGTTCTGATCTGTCAGCCTGTTCTTAATGCAACTCTTTTTTGAGCTATAAATCAAAAACTGTTCTGACTATTCTCTGCTACCAACGTTTTCTAGGTTACCACTAAAAACCAACTTATCTAAATAAAATTTAATCTGTAGCATACGAAATAGTTTTTAAGAAGGCTCAAAAGAAAAGTATCAGGGGAAACATATTGACCTCGATTCACTCGCCGTCTGACAGCTATTCTCAGTGCAGTACTTTGTACGGTGCTACCAGCAGCACAGTTAGATATTGTGGACTTGTGCATATCTTCTTGTGTAAGATAAGGAATGTTTTATCCAATCTCTGGAAGGCGCGGTCCGTTTCAGTACGGCTAGCGCGTAATTTTACTTCCTGTTGTAATATCTTTCAGGACCTCCATATGCTGTAATACCTGGGACTGTTACAAGCAAGGGAGAATGGCCTCAAATGTTATGGAGCCTCGCAAAGAAAAACAACTGAATTATGATTGTAAAATGTGTTTCATCATGCTTCTAGGTGCCAGATATTGAGGAAGTGGACGTAGTTTTGAGAGGAATAAAGCGTAAAAAGAGAGATTCAAGTATTTAGGAGCTAAAGTTGCACAAAAGTACCTTAGTTTTTATTACCTTACAGTTTGTACACTTCACTTCATGTTCAAGATGGACTTTTGTTTTCCATAAGTGTAATTTCGGCTTCAAAACTGACTAGCACTCAAATAACTTGAAGCGAAGGTGGCTTTTATTTATTTTCGTAACTGTACTATGATTCACCAGTGGAGCTTTGATTTGTTATCCTATTATGTCGCTTGCGGCAGTTTTCCTCTTTTCTATATGACCGTTCTATTAAAACGCACTGTCGTCAGTGGTGATCCCTTGTTCACGCTCTTCAGAGAAATTCTCAATAGATTGACGAGAAAAATCGCCACATCTTGAACAAGGCTATGCCTATCCACTTGACCTTAAACATTGGTCCATTTGCATTTTCGAGCTCATCGGATCAGTGTTTATACCTGAATAGTCAACACTGATTTGAGGATCGGCGGTCTCGTTCACATCAGAGCTACGATAAATCGTGATTCGAAAGCGTCCATAGCAGATGTTCTTCTAGCGATGTTCGTCTCCTCA